CCAATTAAATCCAAAAAAAGTACTCGCTATTTATATATATATAAAATACGCATTTGGATAGAAAAAAATTTCAATTCATTTTTAATCCATTCGTTTGCTGAGGAGCTAATTCTTGCTCATAAAAGATACTGTTTATGACTTTGCCGTGCTAAATCACGCAGTGATGAATTTCGTACACGTGTGATTTTTGTCGATTAAGAACACGGTAAATTCGAAATATCTCCTCGATCTACTTAATCTTGTATCCTTTCTCAAAGAGTATCTTTCGCTCTATTAATATGCGAATAAGATCTGTTTCTTAAACGCTTCGTTTCTTCAACGACGAGCTATATTTTCGTGCATTATACGTGCGTTATACGCGCGTTTTTTTTCATTACTACTGCTGATTACAGTCTTGTAGATGAGTGACGCGCGTGATTACAAACGCGCACAATGTTCTGCAGAACATCGATGGAGCGACGCGTATTTTTATGCATAAATTAGCGTCACGTTTGCTCCTTCGATGTAAGGCACTAGATAAGTAGGTATTCCCATCCGCCATTTTGGTTCTATATAATTTGATTATATAGTACGATTAATGACAAAAGTAAATGTTAATTAAGAAGAGCCCGCTCATCTCAAATTTTGATAAAAATACATTGAATCGATGTGTTTTCGCGTAAAAATAAAGATTTGACAAGAAAAAAGTGTCGCTCTGCTCCACAAACCGAGATTATCCTTAAAGTTGACGATTATTCGAATTAGGAAATCTGTCACAGTAGTGGTCCATTGCATTAAAAATATAAATTCACTGCTTTTAAAATGCAAATTCACTATTTTAGCAGAGAATTTATGTTTTTAAAGCATAATGATGCATAATGAAATTTTAAACCATACACTGTTATCCCAGCAAACGAGAATGGATTAAAATTGAAATTTTTTTCTATCCGAATGCGTATTTTAAATATATATAGCGAATATTTTCTTTGGATTTAATTGGATTCAATTGGATTCAATTAGATTCAATTGAATGTAATTAGATTTAAAAACTGCATTTCCTATTCACACACACAAAATTTTGAATTGAACAGTATTCACACATTCACTGTGTGTGTGTGTGTGTGTTGTGCACAGAAAAAGCTAATATTATTTTTAGATTGAAAGGCATAGAGATATGCTTCATGCAATTCCTATAAATGAAATTCCTAAAAATGCATTCAGGATTGAAAAGCATCATTTTAACATTTGTGAATCAATATTTCTGAAAATCTGAATCCATTTTCAATCCATTCTCGTTTACTTCATTGTTGAATCTGCTGAATGTGCCCAATGAAGAAAAGAGTTCAAGGAAGTATTAATTTTCTTTTTGTATCTTAAATAATATTGAAAATAGTATTAATTTCATCATTTTGACTTCTTGTATGTCTAAAATTAATCCTATGCTCAACTTGAATTTTTTTTCTGAGATTATTGTCTCATCATATAACATCGTTTGGCGTACGTTCGATTCGAAATTTGAGGACTATCGAAATTTGGAATTATTATTTTATGCTTCAAAATTTCAAAAACATTTTTCTCAAAATATTATTTTTGGAAATGATGGCTACGAAAACGAATAAAACACAATTTATCCGATTAATTTCAATTTCTAAAATAATACTTAATTACTGTTTAATATTACTTTATCAATTTAGAAAATATTTTCTACTTTTAATTTTTTCGTAAATTACAACAAAAGAAAAAGCAAAATTTTTCAAGAAGCTGGAGACATAATTTTTATATTTATCTATACATTGCATATATGCATAGTTTCATGAAAAATAAAATAATGTCTATTTCTCAAGATTGTTAAAAGTTATTTTCTCGTTTCTGTGTCATTACTTTTTATAATAAGCAATTTGATAATAACGTTGCAATTTTTTATGACGGTAACACTAACTAACTCAATGTTAAGGTTGTGCTAAAGCTGGAAAAGTTACTTTGAAAAGTAACTTGTCGGCATTACGCGTTACTCACTGAAAGAACTAAAGTAACGAGTAACGAAGTAACGAAATAATAACTTTCAAATTTCGTGCAATAATTAAGTAAATGCTATTATTGTTTATTATTGCAGTATTTTTGTTAAATAATTTTGCATTTTAATTTTATTATTAAGATGTGTTTTTCTAACAAAAACATTAATTATTCATCTTTTTAAACAAAAATTTTATATAATGTTGAAGAAGCTATTGTATTTTTTAATTTGCTACACATCTATAACCTTAATAAAATTAGATAAGATTATGAATATCTAAATTCTAATATCAATAAAGAAAAATGTGTAATCTTCATAGTTATACGAAGTAAAGTGAACGCTTGGCAGCCGATTGACTCTACCGAGTACCCGCCTTATTTTCAGAAAGATTTTAAAACAGACAGAAAAAAGATAAGAATTCATTAGATACTTAAGTTCATTCAATGCAATTCGATCCCCTTTTTAACTCCTTTTTAAGTCCATTTTTTAATAATTTTTGCTCTTATTGTTTAGTTTTCTCTTTTTTTTACTATTCGTAATTATCATTATTATAATTTTTATTATTGCAATTTCATTATTATTATATTGATTTACATTTTTTCGTTTCTATTTTTTCTCTGTGTCTCTATTTTTTTTTGTATTTTTCATTTTTTATTTTTCTTTGCACCATTATTTTCTTTGTTATTTTGTACATTCTTGTTATGTTATACATTCATAGCAGGCTTGTGAATAGGCCTAGAATGTGAATAATACTTTATTTTTTATATGATTAGTCCAAACAAAAAACAAAATAAAAACATGATTTTTGAATCACCATCTGTAATCAGATCTTTAAAGTTACATTAATTTATTTTCGTAAAGAATCGATTTATGATGTTAAAAATATGTAATGTTCTCAGTTAGGTCATCATTTATCGAGAATAAAAGTAAGACAAGAACAAGCGAATTAGAACAATTGTATCAAGTTAGCTATTTTGATTACCGGCAACGAATTAAGCTCGAAATGAAATTATGATGTTACCACCGAGACAAAAAAATAATCTTATAATGTAAGGAAAACACTATAAAGACAACATATAAAAAATGTGACTGATGTAAAAAATTTATATATATATATA